CACTTTTGCTGATAACGGGCACCACTAGGCGCATGCGTTTAGATTACCACTTTGCCCCATGTATAGATATGCTATTCGAAGACAAATCAGGAGTGTGCTTAAGCTTAGACTTACGCTTAGCCCAGTGATGAGGCTAACGCATAAGCTTCGACTTATGTGTGAAGCGTATAACCACACGAGCGTTTGTGATGGCGTGGTGGCGCTTGTTATCAGTAAAAGTACCGTTCTTTAAATGTTTGGCTTAGTTTCTCGAAAAATAATAATAATAATCGTGCATCTGTGACATGCAATCAAGTTTATGTTGGTCAGCGTTTAATGATTCGACGATTGCTTGAATATATGGATATTTTCGATGATTATTTTGTTTTATTTCAGTAATTCATATTTCGTGTCTTCAAATTGCTAAGTGAACAATGGAACGTTTAAGAAAGAAGAAGGTTCGTTTAATTTTCCATTTTATTCATATCATCGAGTTTCATTATCATTTTTAGGCAGCCATTTGAATATGCTAGTGGATGAAGTAGTGGTAGAACTGTTCTTGAAATGTGTAAACTTTATTGCTTATCGTAAGTTTTTTGTTTCGATTCATTTGTTTAGTGATTTGTGGATGAATAGTTTCGAGTTTCAAACTGAGCAACTTTCGTCTTTTTTCTTTAGTTTGTTCAGCATTAGCGTATCGAAGAATGTCTACCAATTGTAATAAACGAGTACATTGCCACCAAAGTCATACGCCTGTAAAACACGGCATATTTTCATTTGTACGCCCTTTATGTGTGTGACGTAGACTGATACTTGTAAAACAATAGTAACCTAATAAGCAAGTGAAAAATTTATTTGTGTGCTCAGAAAGAAGAGGAAGAAGCAGCTTTATCGAAGGCGTATGAGCAGTTTCGAGAGACGTTCGAAGAAGGAGGTACAGTTGCGGTTGGCAAATCGTTTATACGTGGCGCTGTTGTGAATGCAAATCGGGTAGTACAAGGTGCGTATATATTGACTACATAGTCAGATCATTGTTTTGTTTGGATCGGTTTGAATGATTCCTTCGTTCTGATTCTCTTCTATGAAGATGTGATCCAAATCCATTCGAATTAAATTACATTTGTCAAATTCGGTTTCTGCAAGCAGATTTTTTAACGAAAGGCCCGTGCTGAAATCGGGTTTTTGTCGATTTGAAGTTTATTCCTTCTTTGATCCGAATGAAAATACAATTCGGAATAGCTGTCAAGTTATGAGAATAGCGAAATCGATGTTTAAGAGTCGAATGGGGGTAGCTCATCGTCAATCTACAAACCGAAAGTGGAGTTAACAAAGAGAACAACTTCGGGAAGTTCATTCGAACAAGCGAAGAAGATTGCCGAAGAGAAGGCTCGTAAGATGATGGAGGATGCGACTCGTAAAAGTGCGAGTGCAACGACGAGCAGCACCATCCAACAGCGACCACCTCGACCTGGTAAAACACAACAAAAGAGTCGAACGAGTAACTTAGAAGCCTTTAAAGAGGAGTTGAAAAAGTTTGTTTGCTTTTTGTTTCATTTGGGTGAAATTAAATTAGTTATGATTGCACACAAAAAGTTTCATGATCTTATTAAGACGTGAATAATTATGTGAGTTTTTGAAGTCGCCAATCAAGTAGGAACGCCAATATTTGTAATGAATGAATTAATGTTGTGTTACATTGAAGTCTGCAAGAACAACGTCAGCAACGGCGTACGTTACGTAATCAAATGGAACAGATGGGTGTGGAGAAAGAGGCGTTGGATCGTATAGCGCCATTAATTGATAATCCATATTTGCATGGGACTGGTGAATATGATAATGATCCGAATACCACTAACATCTACTTGTCGAATCTGTCGCTTGAGGTATTTTGTTGGGTGGTTTGTTTATTCAAAGAAGATGTTCAACTGATGTTTACTTCTAGATAAAAATAGAGGATTTGTACGAGACGTTCGGTACGTTCGGTCCGTTGGCATCAGCGAAGATTTTATTTCCGAGAGAGGACGATCGCAAAAGAGAACGTCTTTGTGGATTTATTGCATTCATGGCACGTAAGGATACAGATCGTGCGATGGCTGCGATGCAAGGAAGAATCATCAAAGGATCTCCGTTGCGTTTGTCACTCGCTAAACCTGTTAATATACCTGCTCAGGTACGCGATCTTCCATCAAGATTCAGTGCATTTATTCATGCATGTGTTCGTTTATTTAGAGCCGATCATATGAATGAACGAATATAAAATCACGCTTTGTTTTGTTGATTTTAGCCAATCTATATACCACCTAAACTGATAGAACTGGCAATGCCCGATCCACCAACAGGTTTACCGTTCAATGCAAAACCACGTCCCGATGATCTGGATGCACTTCTCGAGAAATGCCCTCTGCCGCGTCTCGGAGGTATTATGCCTGAGTCGGGACGTGGTAAAGAAGAATACGACAAGGTACCTACCTCTACATATGCTCGAGTCTTTGATCATTTCTCATCAACAGTCTTTATTTATTCTTATAGAAACATCAATCCATTCCACCAAAACAGACGCATAATTGATGCAGTGTTGTTTTTGAGTGGTTGTTATGCGAGTTGCCGTTAACTGAATTTTATGAAGTTCATTCAGGAATGTTTTTCATTTTCATTAGATTTGAGTGCCTTTTTGGTTGAATTCAGCTGAGATTGCTTTAGCCGTTAGTTAAGTCATATTTTTAGAGGCATGACTGTGATATGTTAGGTTATCATGGATGCAGTGTGAAGGGGATAGCGTTTTAGATAATAAAGATAGAAGTAGTTTGTATTATCGAAATAAAATTAAACAGCTAAATGTTTCTGTAGATGATCAGGAACGCTGTGGTACGAGTAGTGGTCCCTACAGAAAGGTACTTGAATGATGACTCTTTCTACCGTTACGTTCGTTCATTCGATCTTGCTTTTCGGTTCGTCATTTAACCTCTCTCACTCGTGTCTCTCAAGTGACGCGGTCGTCCTCTCCACTGAGCACAATCGACAAAGCTCTCAACAGGAACGATATCATATGCGGTGTCTGTTGCATGAAAATAGTTTTAAGATCAAAACTGATTGTTTGTTTGATTGAATGATGTTGTTCTCTGTCATCGACAACGAACAATAAGTGTTACCCGCGCCCGGAATAACACTGCATTTTTTGAATGACGAGACTCACATCTTTTTACATTACCCACAGAACACGATAGCACGCATTTGTAATTGTAATCTGCGATGTTGACTTATTGATAGTCACTCGTTTGATTTTTTAAAGTCTGAGATGCTGCTTTTCTCAAAGTGAATAAACTAAGCCAA